AGAATCAGCCTTCCGAGGTGTTTTGAAGGACAAGTGTAAATAACAGTTCATATGACTATTTCTTTTGGCAAAGGCAGATTTATTTCTATAGAATTTTATCTATTACAGTGCTCTCTGCAAAATGAAATGGGAACTGGCAAAGAAGTCAGTAAATCACCTAAGCTCTCCCGTGAGCTCTGGCCTTTGAAGTACTTGTGATTTGGGGTCACTTTTTGTCATTTTACATAGATTTTCTTTCTAGAAATTCCTAATTTATTATCCTAGTAATAAATTCTGGCTTCTTCCAGATGCACTGTCATTTCAATGTTGGCTTTCATTTTCTTCCAGCTTCTTTCAAAATTCAGAATCATATGCCAACTTTAAGCCAGTTGGCTTTGTTCGCTCTACATGGCCAGAAAAAAAAAAAAAAAGGTTCAGCTCATCCCTTTCTCATTATTTTTAAATGAAATTCTTTTTTAAATTATTATTTTTTTAAATTTCTTTTCAGTGTACCAGTATTCATTGTTTATGTACCACACCGAGTGTTCCATGCAATACGTGCCCTCCATAATCCCACCACCAGACTCACACAACCTCCCAACCCTGACCCCTTCAAAACCCTCAGATTGTTTCCCAGAGTCCATAGTCTCTTATGGTTCATTTACCCCTCCAATTTCCCCCAACTCCCTTCTCTACATCTTCCCATGTTCTCCGTGTTACTCCTTATGCTCCACAAATAAGTGAAACCATATGATAATTGCCTCTCTCTGCTTGACTTACTTCACTCGGCATAATCTCTTCCAGTCCTGTCCATGTTGATACAAAAGTTAGGTATTCATCCTTTCTGATGGAGGCATAATACTCCATAGTATGTATATGGACCACATCTTCTTTATCCATTTGTCCGTTGAAGTGCATCTTGGTTCTTTCCACAGTTTGGCGGCCATGGCCATTGCTGCTATAAACATTGGGGTACAGATGGCCCTTCTTTTCACTACATCTGTATCTTTGAGGTAAATACCCAGTAGTGCAATTGCAGGGTCATAGGGAAGTTCTATTTTTAATTTCTTAAGGAATCTCCACACTGTTCTCCAAAGTGGCTGCACCAACTTGCATTCCCACCAACAGTGTGAGAGGGTTCCCCTTTCTCCACATCCTCTCCAACACATGTTGTTTCCTGTCTTGTTAATTTTGGCCATTCTAACTGGTGTAAGGTGATATCTCAATGTGGTTTTGATTTGAATCTCCCTGATGGCTAGTGATGATGAACGTTTTTTCATGTGTCTGTTAGCCATTAAATGAAATTCTTAAATAATCTCTTGGTTTAGTTAACTCATTAAAAAAAAAAAGCTTTCTTTAAATGAATTCATGTAGGTTGAAATACTGAAATCTGACAAATACAAATTCACAATTTTATCTAGGTCTTGAAGTAGGCATTTAGAAAGATGGTCAAGTTCAAAGAACTTGTTGGAAGGTCCAACATTGGTCACTGTATCAGTTACCTCTTGCCACCATAATGCTGTATAAAAACTATCCAGATGTCAACTGGGCTCCAACAATAGGTGTTTCTCTTTCTCTCTTATGCCTTCAAATCTTCAGGGGTCACCAAATTTAAGTTCTGCAGGGCTCAGCAGGGCTCAGCAGGACTTCACTACAGCTCACGGTTTCGTTCAAGTCTGCTGCATTAATTCTTCATTTTTCTGCCACCACTGACCTACCGTTGGGAGTTCTTTCCATGGCAGCAGCACAGAAAGGCAAGCCCAACCACAAAAGCATATTTCACTCTGTTCATGTCACATCTGCCAACATCCCATTGGCCAAAGTAATAATATGGTCAAACACAAAGTTTAAGGGCAGAAACGTACATACCAACCATGAAGCCAAAATAAGTCACATGACCAAAATAAGTCACATGAAGCCAAAATAAGTCCAGCATCAGTGGGACAGGGCAATATACTCCTCCCATGGAGGTGTGGTGAGGAGTTGTAAGTATTTGCTAAACAGTCATCCTTGACCCATGTACCCCTGAAGCTCTGAGAAAAATAAATTCTATAATCCAGATGTCTCTTCTTTCAGACTAGTAGTTCTCATAGTGTGGTATCTCGTCCAGCAACAAGAGCACCTAGGAACTGATTAAAAGGTAAACTCTTAGACCCCACCCTTGACCTGCTAGATCAGATGCTCTGAGGGTGGGGTACTCATACACACAGAGAACATTCTGATTCTTTGACTTTAATACAGGTGGAAGAAGTTTACATTACAGAGAGAAATCTTATGTAACATGGCTCAGCTGACCACCAACCACTTTCACTAAAGGAACTTGACAAATCCCACAGCTGCCTAGCCCTGAATTTTTTTCACTCCAAGCCTCTGTATGGGAGGCAGAAAGATTCTGAGCACAAACTCTGCTTCGCAACTTACCAGTTGTGTGATTTTGGGTAAATGACTTACACTCACTGAATTTCAGTTTACTCAGCTATAAAATAGGACATTAAATGTTTCCCTCCTCTGGAAAGACTGTCTGCAGTGTAGGCTTAGGCCTTTGGCCATAGGTGATGAATCCAGGGTTGGCCCCTGACCCCAGTGTGATACTTTGATTACCTTTTTGAGGAGTTTGGGATCTTGCAATGAGAAGTACAGTGTTGGAAGACAGCTGGGCTGAGTCACTCTGATGGCACATTTCTAGAGACATCTAGGGAAATCGATCTCTCTTAGTGCTGAAGCATTTGCATTTTTTGTTGGTTCCTGCCCTTCTTTGGGAATCCATGACTATTTCCAATAAACATCCCCCTCTGCTTAAGCAAATGTGGTGGGTTTAAAATATGGCCCCCAAATTCTTCGACATTCCCCAAGCCCACAGGTTGAGGGGGAAGCCCAAGCTGCCCACGGAAAAGCCTATATGGAGAAAAACCAACAACCAGCACCACCTTACCTGCAGTATGACTGAACCACTTGAGAAGTAGATCTTCCTGTCTCAGTCCAGCTGTCCCAGTTGATTCCATGCAGAGCAAAGACAAGCCATGCCTGCTGAACCCAAACTGCAGATTCGTGAGAAAGTAAATGATGTTGTAAGTGTTAGTCTCTCTGTCTGGCTACTTATACAGCCATAAATTAGTGGGATAACCATAACCATAACCACAACTTTGTTTGTTTTCCTTTCTTTCTTTTCAGAAGCAGTACCATAGAAATGAAGCACTTAGATCTGGACTCAGGTTGTCTGGGTCCCAATCCTGCTTTGTCATTTGCTAGGCATGACTTTTGGGCTAGCTGTGACATTTCTCTACACTTGAATTTTCTCGTTTATCAAATGAGAAGAGAAATTGAGAAATAGCCCCTTATTATCCAGTTGCCGTGAGCATTAAGTGAGATTATGCACACAAAGGATTTGGTGTAGTTTTGAATCTGCACAGGTTGGCCTCTCTCATTATTTTTGCTACAGAAATGGGTTTTGGGAATGGCAGGGACAAACTACTTCTTTTTGTTGACTTGGGGCCAGACCATGTGGCGAATGGTGAAGCACTTGGGGGCAGACCAGCAAAATATCAGAATATTTCAGCAGTTGGAGATCATCTACAGTTCATGCCTCCAGAAAAAAGAGAAGATCCAGACAAGTGGGACTGACCACCCGAAAACCAAGTGGTAACAACAGAAGAGAGACACTTGTGCTGATGCTCCAAGACCACTGGGGGTCAAATAATCATGCTTTGTTAAATTTCAGAAGCTACATTCTCTCCTGCCCCTAATCGAGTGGGCTGATGAACACTCGGGGCCCTGGGAGAGATGCCCAGGAAAACTAAGAGGGCAGGGATGCACCCTCTGTTGGGTCCTGGGGGGACTTTGCCATCATCACACCTCTGGGATCATGGATAAGTCCTCATCAGTTTTGTCTACACTGCATGTCCCCGCCACCTTGGCTGTCCCCGACAGATCCAGGAGGAAACCCAATCTTGCTCCAACCTCCACACTCTGTCCTTGAACTGAAGGCCCAAGATCTTCAGTTGCTGAGTCAGGGCAGCAAAGAGGCAGTCAGCAAACCCACTGCCGAGTCCACAGCCCTGGTGCTGTCAGCTTCTGGTCTTTCTCTAGCCTTGGGTTAGCTTTCCCTTTTCTCTCTGTTAGATCCAGCAGGATTTATCTAGTAACACCTGCTTTTTATTTAAGCTTCTCTCTTGCTTGTCTCCCTAAGCAACTTAACGTAATGGGGATTTAAAAAACCAGCAAGACTGCAAACGATGCACTCTATGGGCACATGGTGATGATTCAAAGAGATGATAAACAGTCCAGGTTACCAGCTCTGTGCCTGAATCAGGTAGGCCATCAGGACGCTCTCCTTTCAGCCCTTTTCTTCTCTTGGATGTGCTCTGGAGACACTCATTACCGCAAGAGGCCAGACTTCTCTGGCTCCCTGTCCTCTTGCTTCAGGAGCCTGCAGCCCTCTGCCCATCTCATCTACATGCTAATGCAATTTCTGAGCATGATCTATCCTAAGCGTTGCTATAAATCCTGGGAGATTTATTACGTTCCTTAGTTCTATAGATCAGGGACGATTTTTTAGAAATTCTTGCTTTTGCTGAACAATTTAATATGCCATTGTCTAGGCAACAGAATTTGCCTCAATTAGATTTTCAGGCTAATGTGGGGAGGAACTTTCCCCCTTCCTCTCCAGCAGTATTAGGAAAGGCTATAAGTCCTGCTCAAAAACATAATTTGCTGCTGCCTTGTGAGGAACTTGAAACCTGACTTTCTGTGGCAGCCATGCTGTATCCTTCCCTCTGCTCCAGGACTGGTGTCTTGTTGAGGTGGCTGAGGCTGCCCATGGGAAGACCCCACTGCCCTAGTGGGGGGCTGGGCACTGGCCACGTAGAGACCTCCCCCCCACCAAGGGACATTGACCTTGGAGGATGAATCACCGTCCACCCCTGGTGTCTGGTCCTTAGCTGTGTAAGCTCAGAAATTCAATCTTTGAAGTCTGAAAGTTATTGGATGCTTGAATCAACATTGCCAATGAAGGACCCGAGATGAGAACAGACCAGAAAGAAAATTTATTAATTTCAAGCAGACGGGACATTCACATCAGTAGGGCAAGCACATTCTGTCCCTGGGGGCATCACTCTTCCGGAAGCCAAGTGATCTGATGGTGGCTTAGTGAATGTGAAACCTGAGTGTGAACTTCTTGTGATACCAGCCACTCCTGGGCAGAGGGTGGGAGGCCCTGCCATTGGGCCACCTCTGCTCCTACCTATTCAGATTTCTGTGGTTCATCAGCCTTCATCGAGGGACCCATTCTTCCGCAAAGCGTTGGTTCTCCTGTGGGCCTGGGGCTTGTCCTGGGATTTCTACCCTTCTGCTCACTCCATCATGAGCTGATTCCTGGCTTACTCTCAAGACATCCTTAATGTCTTTCTTTCCACACTTGTGGCTCTGTTAGTCACCATGCAGGTGGAATCTTGGTTTTGACTAGACTTGAGAGTGGGCAGGAAGTGGGGGTCAAAGTTGACTCCGGCGGTAATCTGGGTGACAGGCTGGTGGGTGGCATGATCTGGATCCACGAAATGATAGTCACCGTTTGTAAGAGTGCTGGGCTACAGGCCAGAGAATCATTAGCTCATTTAATCTTCCAAAGTACCTACAATGAACTTATGTGTATATTTCCCAATTGGCTGAATGGCAACTTTGATAAATTTACTTGGTTTGTCTCATTATTTAGTTTTAATTGACCAGTTTTCATTTTGTGCTCATAACAACATTTACACAGAGACTTCACGGTGTCCTTGCTCCCACTTCCTCTGTTGTTCCTGGGTCCTAAGTGTAGAGAGAAGGGAAATGGAGAGAAAGAAGTATAATATATTCTTTAATAAGGAGAATTTTTATGAGCATATTCTTTATTCATGTTTTCTTATTCATAAGAATAACATATTTATAAGTCTTTATAATAAAGAACACAGTCCTAGGAATGCATTCTCTTTATTCTCCCACCCTGACGAGCCTGCCTCTCTTCTGCCCCTTTCTCCCTGTCAACCTCCCCCACCACTCTGTCCTGGTACCTTGGTCTCCAGCTGTGGCAGCAGAGAGCTGGGGAATATTGAACAATAGTTCAACTATTGTTCAATATTCCATAAACTCCTGTTATGGAACCAAGATGAACTGATCAATGAAAACAGAATACTTCAAAGGATCTAACGATATAGCGGATTGCTCATTTGATGATGGACTGAGTCTCAGTGTTTTGGGTGACTTGGTCATTTGGCTTGGCTTTTGGTTTAACTCTCCAGATGAAGTGACAAGGAGGCATTTCCCAAATGAGCAAGCAGAGGCTGGAGAAGCAATAACAAATGTTAGATCCATAATTTAAAAAGGATTGTTTGGGGGCACCTGGGTGACTCAGTCAGTTAAGGGTCTGACTCTTGATTTTGGCTCAGGTCATGATCTCAGGGTCATGAGATGGAGCCCCGCATGAGGCTCCGAGCTCAGTGTGGAGTCTGCTTAGATTCTCTCTCCCTCTGCCCCTCCCCTCTCTCTAAAGTTACATAAATCTTAAAAAAAAAAAAAGGCTTGTCTGAAGGTGATTTGGTGTCTTTGTGCCATTCAGCAGGACAAGAGCACAGAAGAGAGGACAGGATAAAACCCCAGATGGTTTCCCTATGTCTCTAAAGAGCTGTATTGGGAGGCAATTGATTTTCAAGTGTCAAAAGTGCAAATGCTTAAAAAGCTAGGAAAAGTGAGGAAACAATTGGGAAGATAAAGGAATTAGAAATATCTAATTTACTCTAAACAAACAAAAAAACCCAAAACAGTGCAAAGTGTGATGCTACCTGGCCCCATCACTTGGTGCTAATGACAGGGAGGCAGTAGGGACAGGTGGGAATTGTGGTGAACCCAAGAGGGAGCTTCCATCAGTGTTACAGATCCTTTGATTTTTCCAAAAGAGCTTGAAATCCTGATTTTGATATCAGATCTCCCAAGTTGTAAGTGTAACTTTGAAATCCTGTACAACACCATGCAGTCTGAGCAAATCTGGAGGCTGGATCTGGTCTATAAATTTGCAGCCATGAAGGTGAGCCATCCCCAAACCTGGAAGCTGAGTCAAAACCATGGATTCCATGTGGCTGTGGGCATCTGTAAATTCTGATTATGATGAAGAAGTCAAGAAATGATCTCAATGCTTCCAAGAACAACATTTTACCACCAAAGGAAATCAGTTTCAAATATATCACCTGGTACCTGTCGTGAAGCATTTAAAGCGCTGACTTTGAAGACAGAAATCTGGTGCTGAATCCCAGCCCACCACCTAGCAGACATGCAACCTTGAGCAAATCAATTAACCTCTTGGTGCCTTTATTTCCTATCTGAATTCCTGTGAGTCTTCAATGTAGTAAGATATGAAAATCTAGATAAGCGGCAGATAGGAGGCTCTCAAGAAATGGTACTTGCTAAAATAGCCAGAGTGATGATTATTGCTGATAATCATGATAATTGTTGTCAGTACATGTATTTATAACCCCCCAAGAAAGCTCTAATGGAAATTGGCTGCTCAAAGTTCTTTTCATGGGTGATTTTTCCATGAGATTGGCGAGGCACTTGGATGTTTTTTCTCATTTCATTTACATAGGAAGTCACAAAGCTTAGCACCTTTTTGTGATTCTATCAGAAAAGCATTCGGGCAACTCAAATAATCCAATCAAACCCAAACGCGGTGCGAATTTCTGACACTTGACTTACAAAGCATAAGGCATCTCCAAATACTTCTCTCTGCTGGCCATTGAGGGAGGGGGTGTATTGGGAGGATTCACGCAGAATTCAGGTCCTTTCTCATGCACAGGCTCCTTCATTCTGTTTTCCACGCCTTCTGCACTGCCTGCACTGCCCATCTCTTACTGTGCTCTTCAGCTCACCCCAGGCTGAAATCACTGCACTTCATGAGCCAAGTGGTCGTCCCCTCCATAGTTCCTCCAAGACCTGCACAAGCGTGCGCACACACACACACACACACACACACACACACACACCCCTTTCCCCAACACTCAGTACCAGAGCTTAAGCTTTAACCCTCTATGGGAGTGTGAGAGAGTATATATGGGAAACAGGGACCATTATGTTTTGAATGAGTGAGAAAGGCTCTCAACGCAATCTCGAGTTGCACCAGGTCATGCTAACAGAGAAATCTGACCTGCCTCACAGTGTGACCAGAATCCAGGAATGTGGGGCTTGGGCTTCCAGGACAGTTGATGGCAAATGTCCAGGACTCCTAACATCATCTCTGATACTCCCCACTGCTACCTGCACCAGCTTCTGACTTTCAGGTTTGGTGTCCTGATTCTAGCCCCAGCTGAGACCTGATGTGACAGATGTTACTTCTCCTGATGAGCTTTGGTCCCTCGTAGCAGATGCTGTGGGGACCCCACCTTGAACAGTCCCTTGCACATGGACCCCATGATGTCCAGTTTCCAGCAGACGCAACTTGCTGCCTGAAGAAGGACTCTCTGGCTACTTAAGCCCACTGAGCTGGCACCAGGCGCAAGTTGTTTTGGGGGTTAAGCCTCACCCCTCAGCAATGTTCAATCAATGATAGATGGGAGTTGGGGTGAATAAATACTCCAACTTCCTCGCCCCTTGCAGGAGAAACAACTCTGAAGTGTATTCTACCTATGTCCCAGGGGTTCCGGGTGGGGCTGAACTCCAAATGCTAACATGGGTAACCAACATGTTAGAGCACCTAGTATTGCTCTCATCCCCTTTTCAACACATTCCCTGCCCTCATACTGATGTTTTCTAGGCTCGCCTCCCAAATAAGCTTGACCCAGGGTCTGCTTCTAGGGTAACCCAATCTAAGACAGCTTTCCTCCTTATCCTACAGAGTAAGATAAAACTCACTAACCACCTGATTGTGTCAGACATGAGAGTTACTTCACCTTAGCTTCCTGAAATGGGTGCCATTTTTACTCCCACTAGACAGATAAGAACATGGAGGCCACAGGGCCAGCAAGGGGCAAAGCCAGGATTTGAATTCATATCTTTCTAGCTCCCAAAGTTCTGCTTGCTCCATCCCATGATGCTCACCTGGTTCCTTTCATCCTGGATCTCTTTCCTGCCTAATCAAGCCTTGGCTACAAGGACAGAAGTAGGCATGACTGACCAGTTACTGTGACACTAATTATCGCCACAAGTAAAAGAGCAGGAAATTGTAATTCAGGAACTGAGTGTACCAAGACAGCTGGCTTCAGCCCACAGAGGCAGGCAGCATTATTATTTTAAGAATCCTCCCGGGCACAGAAGAGCAGCCTTTGTGTCTGTGGAGGTTGGTACAGGGATGGTGGTGCCCTCCCCATCAACGGGCTGTGTAGGAAGACCCACAGAAAATGGAAAAACCCAGCTTGGGCCCTTTCTGGTCTGCTACTCCTTATAAGAAAAAAAGGATGAATGATCTGGAGACCTGGCTTCTAATTCTCAACTGTCTGTGTAAGTTTGGGCTTCTTGCTTCCCTGCACTGGACCTCATTTCTTAGGTTACATGTATTGGATGTCTGATGGTTCCATCAACAGCTGCAGACCGAGTGAATTTCAAGTGTTGCATTCTTCATTTGGATGTTTTACCACAAAGTTTGGCCTATGGCTCACCCCAGATCCAACTTCATCTTTGGACAGGTAAATAAGACGATCATCATGTCCCATTTGGGGCTCAAAGGAAACATTTGCCCAAAAATAGATTTCTACTATGTGTTTGTTACGGCCTGGAATTCTAGAAAAGATGGACATCTGTTCATGCCTGCATTCAAATAACCAACAGTACTTTAGAGCACACCTGTGTTCTAGGTCCTGAGCTTGGCCCCGTGGGTTCAAAAATAGATAACACCAGGCTGTGACCCCAAGGGTCAGGAAATACTGGAAAGCAACGAGCAGGAATGAGTGTGAGGGAAATCAACCTGGATTCTCTCTGCTTCCCCTGAGAAATGGCCTCAGTGAGTTCCCCTCTAGTGGGGAATCAACTATAGCAGTGCTGTCAAGGAAGGTCAACTCCATCTGGACCAGGGGCAATTGCTTCTAGTATGGCAGAGGGGTGGAGGTCTCCCAGGAGAATGAGGAAAGGCTTCATAGAGGAGATTGTGTTTGAGTGGAGCCTTGAAAGGGGTGCAGGACTTCAGCAGCTGGAGACAGGAAGAGGAAGTTCCAGGCAAAGCAAATGTATGCAAAGTTCCCCAGACATGGTCCAGGGCGCAAATTGTTTCAGTTGGATGCCACAAAGGCTGTCAGAAAAGAAAAGGATAAGGGGAAGGAAGACTGAAATAGACTACTTGATCATATGAGAAAGCTTCTGAATTCAGACCAAGGAGTGGGAGATTTGGTAAGGAGTTGGTAGATGAGCCCTACCAGTTAGGGTTCTGAGTTACAAGCCACAGGAATCAATTCCAACTAACTTTAGCAAAGAGAAGACTTTATTAGAAGAATACAATAAATCTCCTAGAATTAAAGGAAGAGCTGACCAACCAGACCTCAGAAAATCCAGTAACCAGGAAATCTAGAAGGAAATAGTGATAAGGAGTCATGAACAGTGGAATAGTCCTTAACAAATAGTCCTCAAAGCTCAGTGACTTACAACCAGAAACCCTTTGTTTGTCTTGTTCGTGGGCCTGAGGGTTGGCTGGGTTGGCTCTATTTCAGCCTACAGGAAAGTTCAGGTGTGCAATACATTGTCTCTTCATTCTCCTTGGACCAGTGGCTACCTGAGGCTTAGCTTTTCATAACAGGGAGTAGAAGAGCAAGTCAAACCACTGAAGAACATTTAAGGTCCCTGCTCCTGTCCAGAAATGCTGAGTAATATTTCCTTGGCCAGAGCAAGTCCCATGGAGAAAGAGAAGGAAAAATAAGAAGGGGAATCTATGATGGGTGTGTAAATGAGAGTGTGTGTGTGTGTGCGTGTGTGTTTTAGGGGGGTGGACAAGATACTATAACTAGTAAATAGGGGCAGTCTGCCAGTAGGATTATAACGCTGGAGGCTTGAAGTTTCTGCTTCCCTCAGAAACTCAGCGAATCCAGCTTTTCCTGCTTCTGGCCACACGTCTCCTTCTGACAATGGACAATGGATGCAGGACACCCTGGGGATGTTAATGTAACCCTTAACCTCACAGTGTGGGAACCCCTTGGGAAGTTTTTACACATTCTTACTCAGACCCAGATGAGGAAACGGACTCCCCAGGGAGCAGCCTTCATACCCAAGTTCTTGAGTGAAGAACTGAATTCTGTGGCCTCCCAAGACTGACCTCCCAGTACTGACCATTAGGGATCCCAAAAGATGAAGCTACTTATCTCAGAAACTCAGGGAGTGAGAGATAGAGGAGCACTCACCTTCTTGTCACCCCTCAGGCTGGGGAGCAAAGCTTCCAGAGGTTGTCCCTGAAACCATGCCTTGCCCCAACTCTTCAAACTTGGGTTTCTAGGACATCTGGCCATGACATCTCAGTAGGTGTTGTGCCTCTGGCTGGTCTCTAGTTCAAAGCTAAAACTTTTCATTCCAACTGGTGATTTTCCTCTCTTGGCCAGGCTGAGGCTCCTGTTTCTATAAGCAGAGCCCTGGTTGCTAGGTGACATCCTGGCTCCCAGTTCTGGAGGCTGCTGAGGCAGAAATGAACCGAAGAGATTTGAAGCTTGCACTTTGAAGCCAGAATATGAAACCTAAAAGAGGAGATACGACCCTAACTTAATTGGAGGGTTATATAACCACCAGACATGGTTCTAGTGTCCTCCCCACAACCCTGCCGGGACCAGTGGGATGTATTTAAATGTATTTTTTCAAAATAGGAAGAAAAGTAGGAAGTTGAACTGATAAATATAGTTGGGCTCTTTTGACTGGGAGGAAACTTCTAATTACATCGCTTTTCTAAGCTCCATCAATCAGATCTACACCTTCATTAGCCTCTGAATCATTAGTGGAACTTATTAAAACAATTAGATCTGCAGAGAACTGCAGCCATCAGCATTTCTGACAGCTGCATTGGGGATTTAAACTTTTCATTAAAATTGGATGGAGCCACTTGCAAATCAATAAGGAATAGATGAGCATTCCTAGTGAAAAATGAGCAAAGAACGTGAATAGATAATTTTCCAAAGAACCACAAGTGGCCAGTAAACAAATGAAAAAATTTCCAAACTCAATAGCAACTGCAAAAATACATTAAAACAGTCATGATAAAACATTTTTAGTCTATTAAACGACAAGTATTCTTTAAGTGGTACTATACGGGATGATATACAGTAAATGTGTTATTTTGACACACTATTGGTCAAAATGCAGTTAAAGAAGACCTTTCTGGAAAGTAGTTTGGCCACATATTGAAAGCCTTAAGCATAGACGCAACTTCCGGCCACGCTATGCGGTATCCTTATTCACGAAGAGGTTCACACATTAGTTAGAAAACGGGAGAAATCTGAAAAAATATGTGTCTAACAGAGCAAGAAGAAATCATTTAATTACACACAAACATATTCTCAAGATGGTGAAAGGAAAAAAAGCAAGTTCTAAAGATGGATACGCTTCCTGGATTCCTTTTTGTAAGATGAAAAGGAAAAATTGTTTATGCTTGAATGCCAGTAGCTGGGGGTTCCCAAACTTTCTTGATTCATGGAACTGTTGGTGCCTCAGAAATTTTTTTTTATTACTTTATTTATTTGTCAGAGAGAGAGCATTGTGCAAAAGCAGGGGGAGCAGCAGGCAGAGGGAGAAACAGGATCCCTGCTGAGCAAGGAGCCCGATCCCTGGACCCTGAGATCATGAACTGAGCCAAAGGCAGACACTTAAATGACTGAGCCACCCAGGCGCCCCATTGTGCCTCAGGAATTCTTTTATGGAGCTCCTGGACACTGCCCCCCACCAAATAAAAATCTGACAGTTTGATGAATTCAGTAGTTGGGTTCAAACTGTTGAACAGTAGTAGTTTGTACGATGTGTGACAGACATTGTTAGGTTTCCATGAGAAACTTAAAACACCTGCTGGCAGCCCTGTGAACTTCCTTCTGCACCCTGAGGGTTCCTCAGCACACACTTTGGGACTGAAGCAGCTCTATAGCTGAAGGCTACCCATGTGGTTAAGTCCTGGAACCGGGGCTGCCTGTGTTTGAACATGGGCTCCCCCACTTGCTAATGAAAGGCCCTGTGCAGATCAGCTTTCCTGGACCTTAGTTTCCTCCTCTGTTAGGCGTAGATAACACAAGTACCTTCCTCTCAGGGTTCTTGCGAGCTTTGTGAAATGCTGGGTGCCTGGCTCTTGGCAAGAATTTAGTAAATATCAGCCCCCTTGAGCCCTCACAGGGAATGGTAGGTGACTTGGACTTTTTTCTCTTCTTTTCTTTTATTTTTTTTTCAAGATTTATTTATTTAACAGAGAGAGAGAGAGCACAGGAGAGCACAGGAGGGGAAGTGGCTGAGGGAGAAGCAAGGTCCCCACTGAGCAGGGAGCCCAATGTGGGGCTTGATCCCAGGACCCTGGGATCATGACCTGAGCTGAAGGCAGAGGCTTTAACCCACTGAGCCACCCAGGCCCCTTATATATTTTTTCTTTATATTGTTTTTGCATTTCCAAAATGTCACACAATAAGCATGTATTACTTTCATAATAAATAAACTTCTTTCTTTATTTTTAAACCAGAGAACATAGCATCATCAGCTCTCCCTGTCCAGAGCTCTGGGCATGTGCAGGAGAGAGGGCAGGACATGTCACACGGCTGCAGGCATTCAAGACATTTCCCCTTCTGCAGACCAGCGGTGCCTTGGTCATTATGCATCAAGAATACTAATGACAGACCTGTGCCCCTGAGACAAATAATACATTCTATGTTAATAATAATAAAAAAAAGAAAAGAATATTCATGAATCATTGAACACTACATCAAAATAATGATGTACTATATGTTGGCTAACTGAACATAATAAGAAAACTTGGAAAATTTAAAAAAAATGTAGGAAGAGGAAAAAATAAATAAAAATAAAAAAAAAAAAGAATGCCCCTTGGGAATCTTATTTACTATAAAATGGTAGATGGCATAGATGTCTCCCCAACCCCAGGTGTCTTGGCATTTGCTTCTGCTCCAACTGTCCCCTCGGAAGTGCCCTTGCCTCTTCTTTGCCTGGCTAGTTCCCACATCCCGATCGAGACTCGTTCTTCCTGCTCGATCCTGGGTGAGCTAGGAGGCCATCCTCTGATGACCTCTACTTTACTGAAACTTTCCTTGTCTGGGTCCACTTGCTGCCACCTCCCTCCCCTTGCCCCACCACTGGCTGCTTCCTTGAGGCAAGAGCTGCGTGAGTTTCATCTGCTTGGCATTCAGTGGGTGTTTCATAAATGCTTGAATTTGAACATCTCCTTCGTGGAAGAAGAGAAGAATTTACATTTGTTATTATCACATTCCTTGAGAACAAGTTTACTCTCAGCATACCCAAATTCTATTAAAAGGTTATGGGTCCTGCTACGGGGTTGGGTGTGGAGGAGACTGTCCCCTGGGGGTATGTATGTGGGGGGCACCTTGTGGGGTCATTGTGGCAGCCAAGCCTTCAGCGTGAGCCTGGAGAAGCAATATTTCTGAGAGTGACCAGCTAGCTAGAAGGGGCCGAGCTCTGAGACATGAGGCTACATGTCCACTCAGGAGCTGTGCGTAACCCGTTGCGGTCCGCTCACTCAGCAAATGGTGATCAGGCACCTACCGCAGACACCGCCTGATACCAAGAACTAGAAGATCAGCAGGTGGGGTGTGAATCTTGAGGGGAAGACACACACACGAGCAACTCTAAGACATCAGGACATGGCTGCTGGGACAGAGGCATGAACAAAGCCCGCTGGGGACCATGGCAAGTGATGGGGGGCGGGGCGTGGGGCAGTGTCTAGAGGAATGAGGGATCTAGTTTGGTAAGACAGATAGCAGACAGTCTTCCATGTGGAGTGGGAGAGAAGAAGGGGAAGAGGGAGGCGAGGGGTCCCGGGACCTGAGAAGAGCAGGAACAAAGTTGGGAGTGCGAGCTATGTTGAGGAGGGAGGGTCCCAGCTCAGTAACAGTGCAGCTTCTGCCTGGTGTCCCCCTATGTCACCCCCTACTCTGGAGGTGTGTCCAGGAAAGAAAGATGGCCTCAGGCTTACTCAGTGCTCACTGCTTTGCTGAGTCCTGGGCGATGGGCAGGGGCTTCCAAAAGTGGAATCCTGTGAGCTAGATTCCAAAGGGAGGGTAAGGGCAAAGTGTTGACATATGGGAGACACAGTGCAGAAGGTCCTAATCCAGAAGCACTTCCTGGAGGTGCTGAGATGAGCCACCAGGGACAGGTTAGCAGGGACACGGGATCTTTACTTCCCATCCCCCTCCCAGTGCAGACAAATAGGACCCTTTGTCAAGTGTCTCACAGAAAGAAAAATGGCCTTCCCCTACTGCTCCTTGTTCCCTGTCCCACAATAAGCGCCCCCAGCAGAGCAGCCTCCAAAAAACTAGTTACGTTTAATTATACACAATGAAATCTTCCAAGTTTGTATGGAATGGAGATTAGGGGGATAAAGAACTGGAGTAGCTGCTTGTGTACTTATTAACCTTTAAATTAACTTTTTCATTATTTCAATATATTATATATTTATTACAAAAAATTAGGAAAATGCCAACACATAAACATGAAAAAATTAAAACACTGCATTCCTACCATTTACAGATTACTGATGTACTGATGTACAGTGTGTACCCTTTGTGGGGGATTAAATTATTGGTCCCAATTCTCCACTACCCTGTAGTAGTATTAAATGTCACACCTTGTCATGACCTCATAGCAGGTGGGCTGAACTACCCTGCCTTTTGATTTCAGATCTTGCTTTGGCCAATGGGGTGCAAGCAGACTGATGCAGTCAGTGCCTTGAGGTTTGCTCATGGGGCAGGGTTTTCCAATTTATACTCTTGCCTTTCACCAAGGGAAGCATGTGCCTCGAGTAAGCATGGGTCTACGGAGGAGAGGAAACACATGGCATAGCCCCAGCCTCAGCCCAAAGTCCACCAAGGCCAACCCACATAATTCCAGATGACTTGCAAATGAAAGAATAAGGAATAAATGCGGATTATAGCATACCACTGAGATGTTCGGGTTATTTTGTGCATTATTGTGGCAACTAATGACCCATACACTCTGCAAGACCTTTTTCTTTTTTTTTTTTTTTAAGATTTTATTTATTTATTTGACAGAGAGAGAGAGAGAGATCACAAGTAGACAGAGAGGCAGGCAGAGAGAGGGGGAAGCAGGCTCACCGCTGAGCAGAGAGCCTGATGCGGGGCTTGATCCCAGGACCCTGAGACCATGACCCGAGCCGAAGGCAGAGGCTTAACCCACTGAGCCACCCAGGCGCCCCTGCAAGACCTTTTCCTATACACAGTTTTTAATCAAAATGAGATCATACTGTACAGTTTTGTAGGCCACTTATTTTTATTCTTATACTTAGATAAATGTTTATTTTTTAAAAAGATTTTATTTATTTATTTGTCGGAGAGAGAGAGCGAGAGAGCACAGACAGAATGGCAGGCAAAGGCAGGCTCCCTGTTGAGCAAGGAGCAGGATGTGGGACTCGATCCCAGGATGCTGGGATCATGACCTGA